CAAAATTGGCTCACTCCTAAAAACATAAGTGAGGTGAGAGAATTTCATGGCTTAGCTTCTTTCTATAGAAGATTTATTAAGAACTTCAATTCTCTAATTGCTCCTATTACTGATTGCTTGAAAAAAGGAATATTTAGGTGGACACCTCAAGCTAAAAAAACTTTTGAATTCATTAAAGCAAAATAAGTCAAGCTCCCATTCTTAGCTTGCCAAATTTTGAAAATATTTTTTAAGTTGATTGCGATGCTTCTCATGTTAATATTGGTGCTGTGCTTAGTCAAGAGAGAAAACATATTGCTTATTTTAGTGAAAAACTGAATGACGCTCGTTCCAAATATTCTACCAATGATTTGAAATTTTATGCTATAGTTGAAGCCTTGAAATTTTAGAGATGTTATTTGATTCAACGAGAATTTGCCCTAAATACTGATCATGAAGCACTTTATTTTTTGGGCTCTCAAAAAAAATTGAATAAAAGGCATGCTAAGTGGGTTTCATTTTTGCAAGAGTATACTTTTCATATCAAATATAAAAATGGCGTTTTGAATAAGATTGCTGATGCTTTAAGCAGGAGATCTCATTTGTTGGTAACTGTTTATCCAACTATTACTTCTTCTGATTTTTTGAAAGATACTTATGCAAGTGATTCTGATTTTAAGAGTATTTTGGATTCTTGTCTTGCTTCTGGAACTGATCCTTCTGCTCAGTTTGTTATACATCAAAGTTTTTTTGTTTAAGGGATATAGACTTTGCATAACTAAAAACTCTTTAAGAGAACAACTTGTGAAAAAAATTCATGGTGGGGGTTTGGGTGGATATTTTGGGCAAGGGAAAACTGTTGCTTTGGTAGAAGAAAAATATTTTTTGGCCTCATATGAGAAAGCAAATTGCTAAGCTGGTAAAATAATATAAAATATGTCAGGCTTTTAAGGGAACATCATAAAATGCTGGTTTGTATACTCCTCTGCCTATTCCAAACAAACCTTGGGAGGATATTTCAATGGATTTCGTTTTGGGTTTGCCTGTTACTATTCAAAAATTTGATTCTGTTTTTGTGGTGGTGGATCGCTTTAGCAAAATGGCACATTTTATTCCTTGCAAGAAAACTTCTGATGCTTCTTATATTGCTGATCTGTTTTTTAAAGAAATTGTTCGTCTTCACGGTGTTCCTTGTACTTTTACTTCTAATCGAGATGCTAGATTTTTTAGTCATTTTTGGAGAACACTTTGCGCAAAACTTGGAGCTACTCTTCAATTTAGTAGTGCATATCATCCTCAAACTGATGGGCGAACTGAAGTTGTCAATCGAAGCTTAAGAAATTTATTAAGGTGTCTTGCTGAAGAAAAACATCCCAATGGGATTTATTATTGCCTCAAGCTAAGTTTGCTTATAATAATTCTGTTAATCGTTCCACTGGTAAAACTCTTTTTGAGATTATTTATGGACAACCTATTCCTCACATTTTAGATAGAAACTGCTTGCCTTTACCTAACAAAATTAGTGCTGAAGCTTTTGAAATTTTTGATCACATAAATCGTCCAACAGCAAGTCCTTGAAAAACTCCAAAAGGCTAATGCTAAGTACAAATCTGCTGCTAATTAACATCGAAGAGAGGTTATTTTTAATGAGGGTGACTTGGTTATGGCTTACTTTCGTCGCCAACGATTTCCTATTGGTACTTTTAGAAAGCTAAGCAGAAAGAAATTTGGGCCTTTTCGTGTGCTTCGAAAATTAGGCATAAATGCCTATCTGTTGGATCTACCTATTTCTATTGGCACTTCTCCTGTATTTAATGTTTCTGACCTTTCTTTATATGAAGGAAATTCTGACGATTATGTGGAAATTGAAACTTTGTCACTCTCCACTTCTACGGCAAAAATTGAAGAACAGGTTGAAGATATTACTGATGTCAGAATTTCTAAAACAAGGCATGGTGAGCATAAGAGGTTCTTGACAAAATGGAAAAATCGTCCTCTGACAAACTGCACTTGGATGGATGCTAATGAACTAAAATGACGTCATCCTGATCTTTTTCAGAAAGTTACTGAAACTTTCTCATCCGGAGATGAGACTCTCCCACCAGGGGGTAATTGATGCATTCATGGTTTTTATATTTTTATTATCAAACATTGAACAATAGTTTTTCATTTAGTTTTATATTTTTTTAGCTATCCAATGATGGAAGGCATCCAATGATCATGGTAGGTTGTGCATGGGCTTGGTAGACCTTGGTTTGCTAGCTTGTTTGGGTCCCTTGGGCTGATGCTGATTTGGGCTAATGGTTCTCGGTTTTGAGCTGGTGTTGATGTTGGGGGTGGTGGTTGTATTGGTGTTGAGCTATATTTTCAAGTGCTAGCTCATTAATTTTGAGCTCTTGGTTAGCTCAAAATGAGCTAAAGTTTAGTTCATTTATTTAAGTTTAGTGGAAGCTCATTATGGTGGAACTTGCCTCTTCTCCTCACCTTTGTCTTCTCGATTTCCTGTGCTGGCTATTTTTCCCGTGCCTTGCCCCTTTGGTTCCCATGGCTGGCTGCTTGGTTCCCGTGGCTGGCTACTTGGTTCCCGTGGCTGGCTTCTTGGTTTCTGTGGCTGACTGCTTGGTTACCATGGCTTCTCTTCTCTGTTTCATGTACCGTATGGGGGCTGATGTGTTGTGGCTATTGGCCTTTCATTTTCCTGAATCTAATTGGTTTAATTGGAGATGTTATGGTTGTTTGGTTCCCCTCTCTTGCCTATATATAGAAGATGTTTTTGGAAAGAAAATGTTGTTGAATATTGTTGAGCAAAATCTCTAAAACCTGAGGGTTTTCTTCTTCTTGGAAAAGCTTTAGAGCTTGTTCCACTTCTTTCTCTTCTCTACTTCGTCTGGGCTTCTTACCTCTTCTTCTCTACGCAAGTTCCACCCCACCTGTATCTTTCTTCTTGAGCTTCCTAGTGTTGTTGGTTGGTTGATTTGGGAGTATTTGCTGGAGTTTGGTTGGACGTTTGGACCTTCTTACTGTGGTGGACCATCAGTTTGCTAGCCCTAAGCACATACTTTACTTTACCTACATTCGATGCATGTGAGGAAATCGTCAAATCGGTTGTTCTGAGGATAGCATTATTTTATTTTTCTTTTGTTTCGTTTGATTTCAATTCTCGTTTTTTCAATCGTTTTTGTGTTTTTGATGATTGCTACTATTTGAATCGAGTTTGGTTATAGTGTTCCCCTTTGTTCTCCTTATTTGACTTTTCTTTCTAGTTTGTCTGCATCAAGATGTTACAGTTGATAGGCATTTTCCTACAGTGCATTTTCCTGCAGTAGCGATTTCTTTAGTTGAATGACACTTAAGTTGCAAAAGCATGTCAGTGCCAGTATTAGAGACTTGTTCCTAAGTTGAAGAGATATTTTAATAGAGATTTGCAATTGGAATAAGTCTTGCTAACACTTGCACATACGTGCTTCTAAGAGTTGGAAGTTCTTACAAAAAAAGAGCCAGTACAATAGATGTTAGGTTGATAGGCATTTTCCTAGTGCATTTTCCTGCAGTAGCGATTTCTTTAGAAATTTTCTCCAAATTCCCCTGCTTTTACTTGTTAGATATGATAATGTACAACTAAATCCATATATGTATTAACACCTTTAAGGAGGACGAGGACCGATCTATTTCTAACCTAAAATAATTACTTACAAGAAGAGATAACAACTAAGAACATTATTGCTTGTCAGGATAAACAAAACAGACCAATAAACTATATATGCTCACATAAAAAACAATAACCAAGAAATATAGACTTTTCTCAATGAAACAAACGTATTTATATATACATTCATACTTTTGAAAAAGTAAAGAATATTCTAAAAAAATTTATAAATGGGTTTTATGAATGCATAGCATTATCCACATTTATTTAAATTTGACAACTAAAGGCTAAGAGTGTTTCGTTGGACATGAGAATAAATTAAAAAACTTATATGATTTACCAACAATTATGCTTGGTTAAGGATAGGACATATAGCTATGGATCAGGGAGGGTTCCATAGTTGCACATCATATGCAGTGACTATGAATATCATGTGCATAAGTTTATGTTATGCCACTCAAATTTGGCTCCATGGGCCATGAGTTCATTTCTTTAATGTTAGAAGAGAAGGGTTTTGGAGACAATATAGAATTGTTTGATATCATTGTGCCATCACATAGCCCAGCAGTTGCCACACAAATCCATATATAGAATTAAGCATAAAAAATCTATGTCAATTAAGAAATAAGCCCGGTTTTGCAATTGGGACTTCATATCAAATCAACTCGGGTATAATGATATGTCTTAAATCCACATAAACATCTTACCCATCCTTTCTCTAAATCATGTATATCTTTCTCCAAGCAACTTACTCGAAAACTATTTGCTTGCCTGTATCAGTATTTGGTAATGGTATCTAGATGTACTTTCAAATAATAATCATTTCAATAAATTACTATTTGTTTTTTTGTGTTTCTTGTGAGTATGTAGCTGGGAACTGGGGTCTTCCGTCATGAGATACAAGAAATCAAATCTGATCAACTGAAAATGACACCTCACAAAGTTTATTAGGTAATCATAAACCAAGTTCACAAGCTTTGATATCAAACAGAAGAAGCATCAAAGCATTCTATCGATAAAAAAAATGTCGCACGAAAGAACACAGAGAAGTAATTAAACCATAACCTCGTCTTTAACCCAAGTTACACTAACAAATTATGCCGGAAAGAAGTAACAAATTAAAGTACGACCGCAAGCAACAAATTATGCCGGAAAGTAATGTCCCAATAGTGTCTAATCACGTGAAAGCAGACATGGCAAATCAATTGTTCAACAATTACATAAAGGAAAGCATAGCCCTAAACTGAAGTACGACCATAACCAACTAAAAAAAACAAGATTTGAAGCGTCTAACCATGGTTCCTTTCTTTGCTTGGAATAAAATTAGGAAAAGAAATAAGGATTAGAATATTTAAAAAAGACAAAATTTCCTAACCAGAATCAGGGTTCGTGACGTCGTAGAGTAGATTGAAGGCGATGTTCGCGAATCGGAGATAGAGATACACGGGAAGGCAAGAAGGGCAAGCCGTGGGAAGGCCAAAGCCGCCCTTCCTAGTCACTAGAACGAAGTTGCTGCTTCTATCTGCCTCCACATCGCTCATCGCAAAGAAAATAAACGTATAGTAGATTTGAGTGACAAAGCGAGTGGAGGGGTGGGGGAGGTGAGAATGAGCGAGGTTTATCACCGCAATGGTTTATATGGATTTATATATCTAGGGATTTACATTCATAACACTTTATTTAATGCTATTTATAAATCCAACATAAAAAATTTTAATATTATATATCTATCACTCATAGAATAAATATAAGTACATAAAATAAAATATTAAATTTTATAGGAATATATAAATGGTAAAAATGAAATATAAGAGTGATATATTTGATATTAAATTGTTATATGAGTGGTAGTAATGTAATATTAAAGTTTCGAATATTAGATATATAAATAGTATGAAATAAAGTGGTATGTATGTAAATCCCCATTATATCTATTAATGCAAAAAGTCAGGTATACTTTTATTTAAAATTTATTAAAATTAGTTTAATTTTTTTTAAATTTTCATTTTTTTTAATAAATATAAAATATAACTATTTAATTAATTAGTATTCTCATTTTAGATAAATATAAAATTAACACTTTACTTTAAAATTGGATCTGATCGGTGGGTAAAACTGGTTGAACTGGGAACCAGTCGGCTAATCGACCCAGAATGTCCTTAAAATTGCTTCAGCTTAAAACCAATAAAAACGAGAGGAAGCGCCAGTTCGAGCGTGTAACCGGCATATCAATCGAGTTTGAAAAAATTGCCTCAGTTTTAAAGAGCGATGGATTGGCACCGTTGATTGTATATTTAACAGCTAAAATATAACATCTCAAACCATATAACCCTACCCTATGCTCATATTTTCCTATGTTTCTTCCTCCCGGACGCGATAGAGCTCTTGCTTTGTTCGCTCTCTTGTTCTCCTGCAGGCTACAACTCAGTCGCCCTTCATTTCTCCTTCAGTAGCTCGATCTCCATACTCTCATAAATTCTGCATTTCATCGAAGGTTTGAGGTTTTCCTCCCATCACCTATGGCAGATCGATTGCTCATAAAATATTGATAATTTATTTTTCTATCTATAGCTTCATACAAATTGATTTAGAATGAATGTAAATGTTTATATTTTGTTTACTATTATGCACTATCATGGAGTGAAATTCAATATTGTACCACGATATCTAGAATGGATCAACAAAAAAATGTCAAAATTTTAATATTATATGTCTATCACTCATAGAATAAATACGAGTACATAAAATGAAATATTAAAGTTTATGAGATGATATAGATGGTAAGAATGAAATATATGAGTGATATATTTGATATTAAAATTTTATAAGAGTGATAGGAATGTAATATTGAAGTTTTGGATATTAGATATATAAATAGTATGAAATAAAGTGGTATGTATGTAAATCCCCATTATATCTATTAACAAAAAAAGTTAGATATACTTTTATTTAAATTTTATTAAAATTAGTTTAATATTATTTAAAATTTAATTTTTAAAATAAATATAAATTATAATTATTTAATTAATTTGTATTCTCATTTTAGATAAATATAATAAATATAAAATTAACACTTTACTTTAAACTGGATTGGATCGATGGGTAAAATCAATTGAACTAGGAACCGGTCGGCTAATTGATCCAGAATGTCCTTAAAATTGCTTCAGCTTAAAACTAGTAAAAAAGAGAGGAAGCGCCAGTTCCAGCGTGTAACCGGCGAATCGATGAATTCGAAAAAACTACCTCAATTTCAAAGAGTGAAAGATTGGCATCGTTGATTGCATATCTAATGGCTAAAATATAACATCTCAAACCATATAACCCTACCCTAAGCTCATATTTTCCTATGTTTCTTCCTCCCGGTTGCAATAGAGCTCTTGCTTCATTTGCTCTATCATTCTCTTGCAAGCTACAACTCAGTCTCCCTTCATTTCTCCTTCAGTAGTTCGATCTCCCTGCTCTCATAAATTTCTCATTTCATCGAAGGTTTGCGGTTTTCCTCCCATCATCTATGGAGATTGATTGCTCATAAAATATTGATAATTTTTGTTTCTATCTATAGCTTCATATGAATTGATTTAGAATGAATATAAATGTTTATATTGTATTTACTGTTATGCTCTATCATGGAGTGAAATTTAATATTGTGCCTCGATATCTAGAATGGATCAACAAAAAATGTCATTTAGACTCCATCCTCAGTTCATAGTGTGCAAGAGAAGGTAGATGGGATGTATAAAGCTAAAAAAACTATAAAGAGCATGTTCAAAAATATAAAAAGAATGTATAAGCCCTATACTAGTATCATAAAGAGGAGATGGGATAATCAGCTAAGAAAGGGGATTCATTCAATAGCTTATTTTCTTAACCATATTTTTCAGTATGTCTAAAAAACTATTGTAATAAACTAGAAGTTATATAAGGTTTGGTATAATTGATGGGCAATAAAGATATATGTCCTAAGTCATCTTTGTCAATGAATGAGGTGAGACTATTTCATGATAACTTCGAAAGTTTTGGAAATCCAATTGCAATAACAATGTCAAAGGAAATGCAACCTCGTGAAAACTTAAGAACTCATTTTAATATTTAATTGAGATATGAAGATTTTGTTTACATCAATTGCATTTGAATAAACTAATATATGTTGATTTATAGTTGAATGTTGAGAGATGTTTGGCTATAATGGTCCAAATATAAAGAAACTAGCTGTCAGACTTCTTAGCCAAACATTATCTTCATCCAATTGTGAGAAGAATTGGAGTGTGTTTGAGCATATTCATACTAAAAGACGAAATCATCTTAAGCATCAGAGGCTAAATGATCTTGTATACGTTCATTACAATCGCAATTTAAGGAATAGGTAATATTTGTAACTACATTTAAATATATATTTAAATTATGATGCACATTATATATATCAAAATATTATTTTTCATATTAATTATATAGGTTCCAGCTTAAGAAAAAGAGCTACGATCCTTCAGACTACCCAAGTATAAAACTTGTTGACTTTTGGATTATTGACGATGAGTTGACTCCATAACTTGATTTAGAAGACCTAGATATGGTAATTTATAAATATGATGCAATTCATGTAGCAATAAAATCGAACATAACATCATATAGACTACTTCAAAGTAAGATTATAGATTTATTTATGTAAATTGGGTGTAATATGAAACACAAACTTATTATTTTATATTATTGATTTACAGATGACAATGGTTTAGCTAATATAGGTGATGAAGATGATATACTTGCATGTGAGGATGTTAAAGCATTTGGGGTTGGAGGTTTTGGTAAAGAAGGATTTTTAGATCCATTATTTGATCATACAAATTTACGTGATGATTATTAGATTGACCATGATTGTTTTGAGTTTTGAGTTTTTTGTCTAAAATGATATAAAATACAAATTTAGGGAATGATTATTAATACATTATGTCTTCAATTAAAAATAGGTATTATGGTAAAGGAATAATTTAATTGATAATTATTATTTATTGGGTTCTTCATGAAAGTTGATCACTTTTTGCTTTTGATGGTAGATAGCATGCCATGTTCATTACAATCTTCTTGTCCAAGCTCGCAAGATACTTGTCACATTGGTTTCTTGCTATTTTCTTAGCTCATAGGCAAACTATTATGTGCCTGATGAATCTACTACAACAGCTTGTAGGTACTTGCATTTGTTACATATTTACCGTCTCTACTTTCGGGGAATTACTGCATCTGCTTGACATTAAATTGTTGTTGATTATAGAAATGTTTTAGCATTTACTACATGATGTTCATCATCACCCGTAGGTGAACTATTATATGCATGACAAGACTTTTATTATTACCTCTCTAACTTGTAGGGAAGCGATCGTATACATGATGAGTCTCCAACAATGTCTTATAGGAGCGCGCATGTAATACAATATGTTGTTTTTGCTCGTGGATGATATGTTGTAAGAATTGCAACTCTTCTATCCATATATGTTGGGAATTCATCATATTCACCACTCACCCACCATCTTTACTCGTAAAGAGGTTAACGTGTTTATTCGCAATTGATTGCATGAGAATTGTGCTTTATCTTAAGCAATTTTTTTTTGGGGTAAATAGGGGCATAGCCCATTTTATTAAGACAAAAGGAGACAATTACAACAGAAAAGATAAATGACTAGAAACAAACATAAAGGAACTGAATCCAAAACTAAAAAAGAACACCTAATACCAAAACTGGAACAAACCCAGCCAACTAGACTTGACATTGAACAAAATAGAAAACAGTTCAAAACTGAGAAACAGAAGAAAATAAAATCCTCAGACAGTCATCTTGGGGATTTTTCTTTAATCTGATTGTAATTCTTCCAAGTACAGGCTTTGACGTGAGTAGCATTCTTAATAATGTTAATCACATAATTCGGACTATTCCACTTGTTAGCAAATCTTCTATTATTCCTTTCTCTCCAAATTTGATAAACTGTGCAGCAAACCGTTAGAAAAATGAAAGATTTTTCACTAGTGGATAGCAGATTAGAGTTCTCCAAGTAGTCCATAATCTGTAACAAATTTGGTCTAAATAAAAAAGCATTTAACTCAGGAATCAGGTTAGTAATAATATAGAATGAAACATCACAGAAAAATAAAAGGTGATTATGATCTTCGGGAGCCTTATGACAAAGGAAGCAAGCAGGATTGATCTGAAAGGATCTCATAATCAGCGAATCTGAGGTTTTTAATTTCTGCAAGACAGCCATCCAGGTATAAGTAGAATATCTAAGTGAATAATATTTGTGCCAAATATATTTATTCCAAGAAATAATAGGAGTCATAGAAATCTTTGAACATAGGTTTAGAAGAGCCATCCCAAGCTACAGCTGATTGCTCTTTAATGTTAATATTATTAATCTCGTGAACAACCGAATCAGGAAGTGAATCAGGAAGCATCCACTTATTATCTCTAATGCAATCTTTATTCAAAAGTCTGGTTAAATTTTTGGCTGCTAGAATTAAGGCACTCAAAGCCTTCCCATTTAACCAAGGGTTCCAATAAAAAAGATAAGTTAGAGTTAGAAGAGATTTGAAAAGTTAAATGATTCGTCATGTTGTGCACAGTTCTACAAAAAC